TATATTAACTCAAAAATTTGAAACTTTAAATGTTTATATCTAATAAACAAATTAAGTTTCATTAAAAATTCAAATGACATTTGTTATTAAATTAAAAACTCAAACATTTTATTAAATTCAAAATATGTATTACCATTTAAAAAAACAAAGTTGACACCCTTACCAGGCATAAGGGATGAACTTCGCTAACGGATGGTTTCTATTGTCCGTTGTGACGAACGTTTTTTATTGTTTTGAACGGTCGTCCGTTCGATGTTTCATACGTTCCGAACGTGTTCACGAACAACGTTCGCCATATAAACCTATATAAAATAAAATCTGAACGTATACGTTCGTGAACGGACGATTCAAAAATAGACCCCTAATAATTAAGACTGTGTAAAAAGAAGCAATATATAAGAGATTCCACTCATGACTAGCCTCTTACTCAAATTCCCTGGTAAAAGGACTTTCGTCAAAAATAATTTCTGGTAATCCTCCGAGACGATTAATACACAAATGGTGTTGAGATCTACTTTTCTAATTAAAGACAAAAAAAACCTATTTACATATATTTGTTTGTATGAGATATATATATTGTAGTAATTAGATGAGGATGTATTAAATTACGTCGATTTTAGTATAATATAAGCTTTATAATAGTAGTAAGCAATTTTTGAACTCTTAAGCAATATAATAATTCCATATAAAAGGGAAATGCAGGGTAAGCAAATTAATAATGGTGGGAAAAATAATATAAAAGGGAAACATGAAAAGAGGGGGACGACACTGGACGATACTGGGCGAGACGAGACTGGACGTTTTGTCGAAGAAACGTTGNAAAGTATAGGGGGACGACACTGGACGATACTGGACGTTTTGTCGAAGAAACGTCGAGTTACGGGTTAGGTTGTTGATGTAAGAATAACTTTATACTTTTTGCAAGATTTAATTAATTTTTGTGTTAAATTATTATATTATATTTGGCTTTGTGTTTAATACTTTTCGTAAATAAAATAACTATTTAAAAATCTGGACTTAGCGCAAATATTTTATATTCACGGTGATCGCGAAATTGTGTGTGTGTGCGGCTAGAGTCTAGGTTGGACTGCTGGTCCTTTAGTCAATCTTGATAATTAGTGAACGAGCTGGCTAGTGTTTGGGCTTAACCGTCCTTTAGTGGGTATAATAAAAAGGTAATTGTGCTGGTGGCTGACAAGGAGCCACCCTTCAGTCTGCTACTTTTGAGCTAGACTGTGCTGACGGGTCTAAACTCTATATAATATAATAATAATTAATCATATAATGAGGCTTATAAATTGACCGATTTTCATTGG